TTGATGTACTCTGGCAGAGAATAATAAGCAGAAAAGGCATTGTTACATTTCCAATCATGATTAAGAGCCGCATACAATAACGAGGTAAGAGATCCGAACAGATTATGTTCAGTAGCATAAAAATAAACGCTGGAATGCTGACGAGACCCAATAGAAAGTTGATCAATGCGATGCAACGAACCATTGTCAAATCTCGATGCATTCGTAATTGGTGATTGTCATTGTTTCTTGATGAGATTTCGCGCACATAATTCACTAAAATTCGATACAAAACGCCAAGAACAATATCTGATACTGCGAGTATTAATGCACTCATATAAAATGTTAGATCTAGTCTTGACAACGAAACAAAGCATAGATTGTCTATTGTCAGTTTCATCATGTTATCTGTTAAAAAGACAGACAAAGAAAAAAATAAAAAATAAAATATCCATTGAGTAAGAATAATGCACACCTTCCGAGTTTGAGTATCAAGATATTCGATTCTTCTTATCTTAAAATACTTTTCTATTGCTTGTAGAATAAATGAATAATGAATACAAGCAATGATAGAATGTTGAAAATACGCACGTAATGTACAAAGTGAATTAATATGGGGCACTGATTGTTGATCCCAGATTAGCATATAGGTAGCTACGACTGTATTGTTAGCAGAAAATCGAGGAATGATTAAAATAGTATTACAAACTAATAAAGTAGGAAAATTAAAGCAGTGTTTTCTGTAAATAATAGCAATCGTCAGACAAGTGAAGGCTAGTAGACAAGTGAAACAACAAACGGCTATGAATATTCGATTGATGATCGAATGGAAGTCCATCTCGCTACAAAGTTGAAACTTAGACAAATAAATCAAGCCTATATCAAAGAAATTCAACTACGTTTATTTCAAACCAATATCTTGTCTCGATGGATCGAAACAGGAAGAAAAGGTCCAGATAGGTAATCATTTTGCACTTGTTCTGTCAAACTGTAGCAAAAACGAGAGATAATTGCTGTTGTAAGAAAACATTTAAATGAAATGATGACAGTTTTGCTCACAAGAGAATGATTTGCTGTTCGTCAAAAAAACTTTAATAGAGTCTCTGGTTTATACATGAATGGCTCATTTATTTTATTTCACATCAAAGATAACATATAGTTTCATTGTGAACACAGTTGACATGTCACCGTAGGAAGAAAAAATAAAAAGAATCTTGATGACAGCATAAAGTGAAAAATTTGTTAAAATATCTTTTTGCAGTTATTCGCTTCATTAAACTTTTTTTCCCTTTTTTCCTTAAGGACGTTCAGGGTAGATAATACGAGACACTGATGCTTTAACGACATCAGCGACAGACTGTCTTGATAGAATCTTCTATATTTTTTCTTTAAGCAACATTGATTTATTTGAATTTTACAATGGAATTTCTCAGTTTATCGAATGAGAATAATGCTCAGTGCTACTTTGACACTCTACCGAAGTCAAAACTGCATTAATCAATGTAGACACGTATGAGTCTTTTCTGCATTCTTTTCCTCCAATGAAGATACTCATCAAGCAAGTAATCAAAAAGTACTCATGGGTACTCCCAAATGGTTTTCGTGCACGTGAATAGTTTATGTATAATATTCATAAGGTTATGCTCTGTTCAGTATTGTCTTATTACATCGATTTTTATTTAGATAGTAAATTAAATAACAAAAACTAAAACTGTACATAATGAAAAATTTGAGAAAACGATGAATTTAAGAGCTACAGCTATTACTTAATTTTTAAGCTTTTTTTACAACAACTAATAGACGTAGAGAAATTGTTAGCTGTAGAGAAGAAAGTGAAATATTCTTTTTTGTTTTTATATAATTATTTGTTCAAAATTTGGAAGAAAATTACAAAGTTTTAAAAAAAGAGAAATTTATTTTGTAGATATTATATAATAGACAAAGAATTACACAGCGATTTATTTCGTATTATGAACAATTATTTTTGTCTTGCAATCGCATATCTGTCGTGCAAACTTCTTCACCATTCAATTATCTTTTTACATTGAAATTGAAATCTAAAATGAAGGATATTATGATGACCCAAGAACTAATAGGTACGCGTGTACATGAATATTAGTAACATTGTCAACAATTTCAAAAACTAAATAAGATTTCCGAGTTAATATTATTTCGCTGTGACGAAGAGCGATTTCATTTTAACAAAAAATACATAAATATAAGTCGAAGAAAATACTTGACTCTTGCATAGGCCAGCATGTACAATGCAAAATAGCTGAAATTTGCATATCAACGCAGTATCGCTCACATGATAGTTTTCATAAATATGAACTTTTCGTATTGATATGCAACATTTAGCAAAGTTCTAATCATCCTGTAAGTATAGGCAAATAACACTATGGCATTTATATGTGATTGTTTGCGAGCATAAGAATCAAGCATGATCTAGCATGCTTTGTTCAAAATGTTAAAAAATTGTGACTCTATGCATGTAGTTGTCAAACGCACGTTTATGCGTGTGCAACTGTTTCACATTTACGTGCAAAAACTGCTTATATATCAGATAACTTTTATGTTAGGGCATGAGATATTTCGACTAGAAAAATATCTTGCACGTTAACGCGAGTTTCTAAAAATGTCCAGCAAATACATGCGTTTTTTGAAGTTTTGTGTTTGACTGAACATGCGTTTGTAGCGCTCTCATTTTCTGTCTAGAGGTTATTGTTGGATGACGAGTGAAAAATGACAATCATTAGAGAAAGACAAAAATTCTAATTTTTTTAAAATTAAGCCATTCACGATGAAACGTGTCACATAATATTATTTTTAATCACAATTTGGTTTCAAGAATTTATTGCTTTTGCTCTTTGGTCCATTAGTCAACTATTTTTATAGAGAATTATTTTTCTAGATTATATAAATTCGTAGCCCAGTTTTTATTATGAATTAACCTGGTCGTGGTACTATGCATATCACTAATAATACTCATATCGATAGATTTCATACTTATTGTAAGATCAATTTTTCAACCCTGTTTAATATTATCTTATTGAAACTTTTTGTATTGAGATCCTGACTTAGGAAAAAAGACACAATTAAACAGACTCACAATGAATATACAAAAAATGTTTTGTTTGCATTCAAAGAACAAAATTTTGTAGTTGATTTCAGGTTTTTTACATAGTTAAAACCTTGTCTTAATTTTTAATTTACACTATAGCGAATGTGAACGATATTGTTATATCAATTGCTAGTTAAACAGTAATAAAGAAGAACAACATATTATCAATATTGCCCCAGAAGAAGCATTTGAAGAAAGTAAGCAGAATTCGGTTTATTTTTGAATACATCGAACTTTGATCTCCTACAATCTTAGTATTTCTTTTATTCTTTGCGGTTTTGAATGATTATGATGACAATTATGATGGACGAATATTACACACTAATGCTCTTCAATTGTAATATGATGAAGATATTGCTGATGAAGATTCAGATGGATCTTTACCAGTTGAAAATGCTATGTTGATTGATGATGACAATGTACATTATCAGATTTTTTATATAGAATAGTAGAATTTATCGACATTCAAACTGACACAAAACAATAAATGATGAAAATGAAGAGTCGACAACGATATCAACATAGTGAAAACGAGCAAAAGCAACATCGCTCTTCCAACAAGTAAATTTCTTGTCATTTTAGGAATTTTTTCTGCTTTTTCGTTTGCTGATTTATCACGAAATGTTTTTTTTTTGTGAAACTATTTTTTAATTTTTACTTGTCCTGTTTTGATATGCATATCTTTACTGTTTAAACTATCTCCTATTCCTGTCTTGACATGAGTTCTTTACTTCAGAACATTGTAAAAGAGTGATAATTTCACGTGAAAAATTTGTTCTCAGTGTAACAGAAGCTGAGCGATAGTATAGGCTCAAGTGGCTGATGTTTTATAGGGACCAACTATAATGAGCGTGCATGGCGACATTACATCCGATGAAAAACAATTGACGAACGATGTAGGAAATGTATTCGAAACTAGAACTGGACAGCTCAACTCAATTCATTTCATGTGTCTAGAAAAGCTTTTCAATTCAATTCAATTTAATTCATACTGATTGACAATTTTCTTAAAACTCCATTGGCCTCATCAGATATTCTTTTGCGATTTCAATGATTTTTCGTTTATAGATACTGCATAGCACTCTAATAAAAATTCTAAAAAGGTTTGGATTCAAATTGTGGTTTGACTAAATCATTGAAGTTTTGCATACCTCTACTGTCTAGAAGCACTAGGTTTTCCGAAGACTCGCATTTTCGAATTTTGATGTGACGCTTTGTACAGGTAGAGAACCTAACTAAACTAACTGCCAATAAAAATTTCAGGAGTTTTGAAAAAGTCTGATAAGGATAAATCAATAGTTCGTTTCGGAATATTTGTTTTTTGATAGAAAAACTTAACTACTGTTTTAATGAATTTCTTTGATTAATCAATAAAAAAATCGAGAATTTCTGAAGCGAATCTTTCTCAAGGCGCTTTAATTATGAATGCATGATAAAGATAAATCATACACTGCCCGAAAAAGGAAAAGATTTTTTATCATTAACTAAAAAAAGCTAATATTCTAATACATGTTTACAGAAGATACCTTGACATTTGTGTAATTATTTTGAATTGAATGAAAATTGTTCAAGATGAAAAAACAAATTTTTTCTCAAAAATTTCGTCTATAAAAAAACATAAGGTTCGACCTTGTTTGTGAGTACTTTTGTATCGAAGAGAAGTTTATTATTTTATCGGAACTATTATTGTAAAAAAATCATATTCATTCTACCAATTGTTCGATTATTTTAATTATATCTCAACCAAAACGTGTAAGAGAGAGAGTATAAAAATTTGATCAAGTTTAAATTTATGTTTATATTAATTCAAATGAGTATATCAATTGATATAAAAGTATTAAAAGAATTAATCCGTCGACCAATACAAATTTCAATAGGTTTTGTTTGACAACACATTCTTATGTCATTTATACCCTTTACTAAATCAAAAAATTTTCGATATCAACCATTATATGGTCTTGGTTTATTTGTTGCTGGATGTTGTCCAGGTGCATCAACATTTATGATATTTGTATTAACAGTTGTATCATTTTTTTATGATACAAATATGGCTATATAAGCTTGACAATATGTTTATTTACGTGAATTTAAAACTCGAATACCATTTTAAAATTTATTATAATCATTCTTAACAATAGTTCGATCAATGGAATTAGGAATGCTTATTTGTTATTTTATTTTTATGTTGTCTCTCTATATTTGATGCTGTTATTAACTTTTGTTTTCATTTTGTTTATACTGATTTGAGAGCACCAATAACAATATCTTCATTACCATAGTTAGAATTTTTATTAGCTGGTTTATTTACTTAAATTTGTAGAAAAGATTGGAAACGAATCATAGCGATTGTAATTGAAATAGGTAAAACCAATATTTATCCTAATCAATAACTATGGTTAGTAGTATTTCTAAGAAAAAAATAATGCATTACTTGATTTTTTTCAAATTTTTTCTATCGGAAATATTGAATATGAGCACTTTTTGGTTTTGTTCAATCATTTTGAATGATTCGTATAATAGAAGTATTTTTTTAAAGATATTCATAATATTGGTATTGCACTTAAGACTTTACTCGATTTATTTTCAGCACCAGAAAATAGTCAAGCAACTGTTATTGCATTAATTGTTTCCTTTCTATCACCTCACCTATTCTATCTTGTTCTTATTAATCGACTCATACGTCGAATACATAGTAAAATACAATCAATAATTCGTTATACATCAATTGACATACTAAGTAAATCAACTTTTGAGTTAAGTGAACCAGAAGCTGAAACATTCGATGACATATCTCAAATAAAAAAAAAATGGTTCATTATCAATATCAATCTTAGATTCATCTAGCGATCTAAAATTTGATTAAAAAACCTAATCACTTGAATCAATTGCTATTACATTGTTCTGTTCTATGATTTTCTTTCTTGTATGTGTAAAACTGAGACAATAAACAAATACCAAAAAAAAAATAATTTATATACCGACATGATAAAACACACACACGTACACACACGCGCGTTCATTTGACGGAAAGACATGAATGCTGTTAAACATTAATATGACAATAATTTTCAAGGCCACTCAATATTAAATAAAAAATCCAAAGTAAAAGAAATATCGAACTTGATATAAGACGATATTTCAATGGGCCACCTAATTCTCCTCCACCAAAAATTTTTAAACGTCTAATCAATAAAATAACTATAGCAACACCTGCAAACGAACAAAATACAGTTACACTGAATGCTAATGAACCTTTTTCAACTTCAAATTTTGTTCTTTTAAAATAATGATACCATGCTGACATAGCCCATGGTAAACCAATACCTAAAAAGACATTAACAGCATTTGAACCATTAACATTTCCTATTGAACTATCCGCATATTTATCATGTTCAGCAGCAACTTTTGATGCAAATGTATCTATATAGAAATCAAACACAATATATTTTTTTTTCTTTTGCTATTATTTATCTCATCTACCCGGTAATGATGTTCCTAAAGCAACAAAAGCAATTGCTGTCATTGTGTCTGTAAGGCCAATAGTACAACCAAACTATAAAATGATATATTAAAAAATACACTAAGTATTAATCAATAATTATTTACATGCGCTGCTAAATCACCAATAACAGCAGTTAATGCACCAATTATTAAAATTGATACACAAAAACAAACCCATCCACCAGCAATACCTATATTTAAAAAATAATTAAATTCATTCATTATCGTGTCTCGTTTTTTGTTTGTTATAAAAAAAATTGTTTTCTTACTTGTTGGTGGAACAAAAGCAAATAAAAATTTCCAAAAAAATGATATATAATGTAACATATAATCTTTACATGTTGCAGATTTTTCATCATCAGCATTTGAACCACCTGCTTCCACAACATCATCGTCATCATCTAAAATAATATAATCCAATCTGACTATTTATATACATTTGATTTCTTTTTGGATATACCTGTAACACTAAATGCTTGTTTAAATTGTTCTAACCATGTTGACGTACCAACAAGTATAGCCGTATTAGCTTTATATAATGCTTTATCAACAGCATTCTTTAAAAAACTAAATGACATATCAATAAAAAAATATTTTTTCTTATACTTTAAATTCTTTGCTTTCACGAATTCGAATACGAATTGTATGTTTTTCACCTAATTTAGGTTTACCTAAATCAGCAATTAATCTTTCTTCTTCAGTCATATCTATCAAAAAAAACAAATATGTATATATATATATATATATATACATATATACATATCTTAATAATTAAAAAAAACACAAAAGAAATATTTTATCATATATACCTGAATCGTTTGCTACATCTTCATCTTTGATTAATGTTGGTTCATCTAATCGAACAAGAAATGTTTCATTACGTTGATATTGATCACGATCAATTATTTCAATTGTTATTGTCTTTCTGTAAACAAAAAGAGAAAAAGAATGGTTTACATTTATCTTTTCTGATTGGAGAATTTTGTTTCGATGAATGCAAAAAATGAGAATATGGCATATGTAAAAGAAAACCTCGATTCATCCTCTGGCACCGATATAATTAGTCGATCGACGTTCGGACAAAACCATTTTTATTGACATAATATTTGCCAAACATGCGAGTCAAATTCTCATTAAGTATAAAACAGAAGAGAAAAAAGAAGCAGAGCCTTTAGTAATATCAACGAACAAGAACTAATTTTTTTTTCAATTATTTTTCTCTAATCGAAAATAAATGAAATAGATCAACATATGCTTTGGGTGACATTAAATAATACATACTCATTTTCGTTATTTTCAAATATAACTTCACCCATATTTTCAATATAATCTCTTCCATGTAAAGCTGTTTCATCGTGAGTTGAATATGGTAAACGTACACGACCACGAGCACCAGACGTACGTAAAACTTTAACTTCAATAAAACGATCTGATTCTACAACAACTGCTTCATCATTATCAAATACAAACATTCCAGAATGATCATCATCAATAATCATAACAACAGCTGTTGATGGTTCAACTAATTGAACACTTCTATCAAATGCACCTGGTGTTAAACGTCCTTGATTATCTTTTATTTTAAGATTACTTAATTTAACTGAGAAATGTTCATCTTAAAGAGACAAAAATTTTGTAAAAAAAAAAACAAAATAAAAAAAACTGAAAAGAAAAACAATTCAATTAACCTTCTTCAAAAATTTCATCATCAATAATTTTCACTTGAATTTGTTTATGTGTTTCCATTGGATAAAAAATTAAAGTACCTTCAGCAGGTTCATAATCAGCTCCATGTGTTGCTGTACCATCTTCTGTCATATAATCAACATAAACAGTATTTCTTAAATTTCCATCTGTACGTAAAACATGTAATGTCACATAACCAGCATTTTCTAAAACTGTATAATGATTTGGTTCAAAATGTATTTTACTTATATGTGATGTTGCATCACTAATTAATTGTTGTTTTTCTGATGATATTGTTTGACTAGGTTCGTTTAATTTTTCTAATATTTTTTTTTTCATATTTCCACCACCACCACCTAAACGTTTTGTTGCTTGAATACGATAGTATGCTGAAAATAAATTTTGTTTTTTTTGTTTATTTTTTCTTATTTATCAAGAATTTGTTTTTTTTTCTTACCTCGAGATTTCGGTACACGTTTCATCATTTCAACAGCAGCCATATCATTTAACGTTTGCATATCAGTGTTTGGATGTTGTTTACGTAATTCACGCCATATATCAATAAATTCTTGTCTACGTTGTGCTTCAATATGATCGGTTATTGTTGTTTCATCTAAACCACCTATTGTACTACCTAACTGATCAAATATACCACCTGATATAGATTTTTTCATTGAATTTGCTTTAATTCCATATAAATCATTTGTACTTGGTGTTGTTGAATTTTTTACTGTACCATCAATCATACTTTTTTGTTCACTATCATCCATACCACCTGTTGTATCAATAGTTAGAGGTAATGGTGGTGTTGTATGATTATCAAGTTGTAAAACTTGTTTTCGTGCTGTTATACGTATACGTATAAATTGACCAACTTTTGTATCAACAATATATGCCGAAAAAACGGTTAATGGAAAAAATAAAAATGTTAATGTTCCTTCCCATACTTCAATATAACCAGGAGAAATTTTAGCTACAATTGCCCATAACCATATATAAGCAAAAATCGACCATGCTGTTGTAACAAAAAATACACGTAAATGTCTTATACGACGAATTTCACCGGTTGGTATAGACATAATACATATAGCAATAATAACAAATAAATTAAATGCTGCTGAACCAACAATTGTACCTGGACCAAGATCTCCACTTTGAAAATTTTTTCCAACAACTTCAATAATTGATAAAAGAATTTCAGGTGCTGATGAACCTAATGCCATTAAAGTTAAATTTGATACAGTTTCATTCCATATTGATACCGTTGTTATAGATATTGTACCATCGGGATTTTTTTTTCGAATTTCACGTTTTTGTGATGTTATTACTTCAATAGATGCCATAAAACGATCTGATATAATAGCTACACCAATAAATAAATAAATGAGTGCTAATAGATAAACAATCGCACGTGATATACGATCACCAATTGATATATCTTCTTGAGGACGCCATAGAGGAATAATTAAACCATCTTGTGTACAATTCGAACGAATTTTTGAGCAGGTCTTAGAAGATGATATTGATGAAGCATTATATTGAGTTAAAATTGTTGCTCCATGAACAAGACTAGTTGATGTAAATAAAATCACCATTGGTGATAAACGAGAAAAAATATACATCATGAATGAGTCTCGACTAGGAGAATGCACCGATCACATCCTAAAAAAAAAACTAATGATTCAAAATTATAATGGTAATGATGAGAAAGAAATAAAAATAGCATGATTAAAAACTTTAAAAAAAGAAATCTTTATGCTTTGCTTGTCAATTTTTATAATATATCACAAGAGGAAATATATTTTCATCCGAAACAACGACGACAACATCGTCAACGGTTAGAAAGAAGAAAAAAAAATGGAAAACGAAGTAAATATAGGGGAAAAGAAAATTCAGTCGGTGACAACGATAGTAAGGGCAACAGTTCGAGAATTCAATCACTAAACATCATAAGCACTACTACTCCACTAACACTCAATTGATTCAATTAGAGAAGTACATACACGCAAATATATATATATAGCTCTGGTTAAAACGCGCATACTACTTACCTCTTCTTCTTCTTTCCTTTCCTGGTTTTCTTTTTTTCTCATGCTATGCCTGTCTATCATTCAGTCACTCACTTATTAATGTTCATCTGGGATTATCTTGAAGCCTACGCGTTCTCTTCTTACACTTGCTGTCGATTCAAACTCATATATAGTAGTATTGTCGATGACTACACATTGAAACATAAGAGAAGAGACAAATAACTTTTGCCATCAATATAATATGGTAAGAAAAGAGAGGGAAGGAACATTCACACAAACTTATTGATAAAAAAAAATACAAAACTGATCGCTTGCTGCTTCTGTTTTTTAACTAATGTCATATAGAACAACAAAAAACAAGAAAAGTGATGTGTTTGTACTAGTTACAATGGTAGAATCAACAAAAGTTATTTGCCACATTGGCCACGAACGCTAAATTATAAGTTGATGATGACGACAACAGCAACAACGACAACAACAACAACAACAAGGCAAAACAACGTCATTGATGATGATAATGATGATGGTAGCAGATAGAAACAGAAAGCAAAAAGAAAGAGAGAAAGGGCCATATATGTTTCCTATCTTGAATGTATTTTCAAGGCAGAGACCAGAGGCAAACAGAGGTGTAAGCATAGTCGCATTTTTTTCTAAATGTCGGAATAATATCAATCGACAAGGGAAAAGAATTTCCCACTGTTTCTACTACTGTCGTATGGTGGATTGTACACTAACATCTTATTTCCATAGCAAATAACGAGATGATCTGTACGTCAGTCTGACATCAATGACGACAAGCAAAATGCATAGCAGTAGTAAAAGGAATGATCTTATCCATAGATATCAACAACGACGATGAGAATAAGATGCTAAAGAGAGAAAGAAATGAAGACGATGCTCTCGTTTTAGAGAACAAACAGCGAGAAAGAGAAAGAGAGAGAGAGACAGAGACAGAGGACGTTAGCAAGAAGCAAAAAGAAGATTGTCGCCTTCAATCAATATTTGATGCTTGCGCGCGCATGCTGTGTGTCTTTTGTTACTACTGCTGATGATGATTTTCAAAATAATACAACGTAATGCAAGAAGTTCTCGCTTTTGTCTTACTCTTTCTCTCTGCAGGATGACAATAGTTTAGGATCGTCATTGTACGAACGATGGAACAATTTCCTTAGATATATGCTAGTAAAAGTAAAGGATGTTGAGGACACACACGTCTTTCAACAATGAATAGATGAATTTTGACTTAACTTCGACGTGTCGAAGGCAAGAGACAAAAAAAATGATGAAATAGAGATCAATTAACACATCCGTAGTCGAATGATTGTCAGTTATAACTGACTATTTCTTAAAATTCCCACATAAAATTTGGTATTTGTATAGTAATAAATAATGATGATCATCAACGAAGAAAACGAAAAAAAGACAGAAATATATATAGACAAAGACAGAGAGATAGATAGATGGATAGATATACTAATCGGAAAAGATTTCAAGAACATTTAAGATTTCTCACAAATAGCAACTAATGGTTCAGATTGCTGATGGTCGATCCATCATTCATTTATAAGATACGCTCTTGTTTGATTCATAGATTAGTCCTTGTCGAAAAATCTGTCTTCTCGGCTCATTACTTGTTAACGTCTATACACAGACAGAAATCAAATCCACTGTTACGATGTCTCTCTCTCTCTATCTTTCTATCCTACATTGTATATGTATACGCATACGAAGGTTGTTTGTTGTGTGCCTCTAGTAATATTATTGTCATTCTTTTCTTGTACTCTTTCTCTCGCTGCGTTTTGGTTCTATTCTGCTTCGTCCTTTTCTTACTTGTCTCTCTTACTAGTAAGAAGCAAGAAGTAACAGCATCGTCAAGACCTCCTTCTGTATTATTGCTTACGATCAATCGATTGTAATGCTCGACTAATTTTCTGAGATGGGCAAACATAGAAAAATCGACATTTGATAATCAACAAACATATCTAAAGACATTAAATGAATGATGTAACAATAGAAATAAGATGAGAAAAATGGGATAGAACATTCATATTGATTACTACAATCTGTTTAGACAATTGATTCGTGATAAGTTCACGTTAGTTTCTCATTTCAAGAGAATGTCATTCGAAAAAAATTAATTAATAGATAAATAACAACATTTTCTATTGCGTTTAAAAATTATCAATCTTACGGAAAATATCATAGAATGTTTGTTATTTTAATCAATTTTTTTTTCTTAAGAGAGGTCAAAATGGAATGTTTATTTTATTTTATTTTTTTTATCAAGAATAAAATTCGTTTATGTTATCAAATTTACACTAGAGAATTTTCATGCTGTTATAATCCTTAGCTAATCTTTTCATACGCATGATATGAAAACTTTTTCTTTAATAAAATAATTCTACTTTTTAATCATCTTTTCAACATAATCTTTTCTTCTTTTAGGTTGATATTAATTTGATATCTTCAAGGATTTTTTTAGCTTATTTAAGATATTGATGAAATATATCATCGTTGTCGACAGTTGTAATATACTAGTAGCCTCAACATATCCATTGTCAATGTCATACAAATACTTGCAAAAAAAAAACGGCCGCACTTTCGCAACAACAATTGCATTTGTGTCGACATATGACTTCTTTTTTATCATAAGTCAATCACTAAATATATTCATTTTTGATATGTATATACATATTTATTCAAGACGAAAAAAATAAATATGATGATAAAAATTAAATTAAATGGTCAAATCGAGATTTGATTAATAAGACAAATAGATACATAACTTTAAATCTATTCAGAAAATAAAAACTTGATTTTCAGTAATTAAATTATCTATCTATTTATATGCATTAAGATATGGTTTTTTTTTGCTAGAATTTTCCATGTTTTAATTTGAGCATACATTAATGAAAACTATCCGATATAACATTGTATTTCTTTGCTTAAATGAAGATAAAATTTAACGGAAGAATGATTAAAGATTTAATGTATTCTATGAATAGACTAATTTTTAGATGGCTCTTTCTTTTGTATTAGAAAGCAGAAAATCTTGTGCCTTATGGCACTTTTTTATGTCTGTAAATCGACCAAGAATAAAATCTACTCTTTTTTTTTGTTTGGTTTTTCTCATGCGATAAGAAATCAATTATCGACTGATGATAATACAATTATGGTCAAGTGTAAATATCTGAAAATAACAATTTTGTTTCAGTCTTTTATTCATATACTAATTAAAAGTTTAATTTATGAAGAGCTTCAACTATGAAAAAATATAATACGCTTAAGCTTTCTTTTTTTTTGATGAACCCACATGATTGATGTATAATTTTAGCTAGAATTTGAATTTTCAAATAGTATAATTAATTTTCTTATTGATCGATAGATTTATATTGATTAAAAAAATATTTTGAAATGAACAGAAATTTAATTTTGTACATAGAACCGTTTATTAAAAAATACAATTGAGTTTTTAAGTGATTAATCTTCGATATTTGCACTAGGAAATAAGCAAATCAAACTGGGATGAGATGTTTTTGATTACCACATCCAGTCTCTCGTAAAAAAATCTATCATATATAGTGATTATAATATAGAATTCATAGCAAACAACCAATTCATTCTATTTATTGAAAAATATAAATTCAATTTCGAATTATAATAATAAAATCAAATTGAAAATAATAGACTATAAATAAAGCTTTTAAACACTAGCATATAAATTCGTATTATATTCTTATACTTCGATAAGATGTTTTCTTTCTTTTAAAGAAAAAGATATGGCCCAATTGGTGTTTATTACAAGATAATAATATAATGTATATAGCGATCAACAAATGGCATCAATCTATATTCCATATAAAATATATATCATCGATTACGATACTGTCCAAATGTGTATATACATACACATAGAACAATATACACAAGTTTCATTCAAATAGATGTTTTTTTTTAATGTGAATCAGTTAGGAAAATAATTGGAATCACTATGCGATTATCATTCAAGATAGATCGAGGTGGTTTTAAGATATAAATTGTATAGTCAACTGTGGTATTGATGAAAATATTGTCTAAGCATATGATGATGTTTTTATCAGTATAATACAGAAATAAACAAAAGTGACATCATCAATGACACTTTCTTTTGTAGGACGTAGAGGTCAAGTTGTTTCTTTTTCTTTATTTGAAATAAAAATTAAACATGAATAATATTATTATTAATATTATTATTATTATTATTATCATTATTATTATTATTCTCTTCATTTTCTGAACAATTATCAGTTTTATTTATTGTTTTACCATCAGTATTAGTTTCAAGAATCTGAATTAATTTTTTATGTTGATAACGATAACGTTGTCGTTCTTCTGATATTGTTGTTGCTACGATAACTGTTATACGATACCATTGAAGTATAATAATAAGACCATTTTTTGATGTAAAAAATACAGTTGAATACGAGAATATACGATAATGAAATAAAAGTATAGCGCGAAATGAAAAAAATGGTATATCTTGAAGTAATAATGACATTAACATTCCCCAAAAATCTGATGGACTACAAAGAAATCTTCGTTCTTGTTCTTGTTTTATAACTAGACGACATTGTCGACCACATGATATAGTAAATGCAAGACAAAATTGTAATAAACTTAATGTCCAAAAAAGTAGAACTAAAATACTTAACGTTACATTTGTTCGAACCTTAAAATTAAAAAAATATATTTTTAAATATGTTTATTCATTTCAAATCATACATTTTTCTCTTTAAATACTTCAAAAAATTCTATTATATCAGCAGCAATACCAATATAAACCTATGAAAAAATAAAAGAAAACAAAAAGCATTCATATGTGAATAGAATTGTTGTTGTCTTTTTACTAATAATAATTGTGAAAGTTCTTCACGAGTTAATTCACCTTTTGGTAATAACCAACGGCTTAGAATAAGTACGAGTAAAATCATTTGTTCAATAATCATATGCCAGTCTTCTTTTGATAAATGTGCATTTAACTAAAAAATACTTAATAAGATTTTCTCGAATAGGGAAACAGATTACCATTCCAAGAGTTTTAATTAAATTCATATTATCTCTTTTCTGATTTCCATTTTGTTCTAACAAATGTTTGAATTATCTTATGATTAATTCTTTTATAAGAACGGGAACAATGTTTATAGAAAATATATGATGATCTTCTGAACTATGAGTCTTTCTTATTAAACTAATCTGTATTTTCTCAGTCATTCTTTAAGGAAATCAACGAGATTGTCATATAACCACAATATTACTATTAATAATTCAGTGTGCAGTGTCACATTGAATAGAGAATAAGCGGAAACCATTCTAACAGGAAGCAATGGCGTTTTCATCACTGCTATCATAGGGAGCTAGCAAACAAAACAAAAATTTTCCCAGCTTATTTTTGCAAAACAACAAAAGCTTGTAATTCAAAAGTATCTGAAGTCTATCCATGAATAAATATATCTCTATATTGCTTTTAACTTTCAAAAAGTTACAAAGTTATTCTTAAAGATTAATTGAAAGTTTGATTTCTCGTCAATAAAACTATACACTAGTTGAAACTTTTTTCTGTGGAATTAAAGAATTTGAAATCGATTTGATGTTCTCAATAAATGACTAAGAAAGTTGAATTTCTCTTGAAAATAACGAAAAAAAGAAGTTCTTTCCATCATTGAATCGTTTTAAATAATAAAATTATCATAATTTAGTTTTTCAAAAGATCTTACTTTCAACATTAATTCTTGTGGTGTTTTCAATAATGTTTCAAATGGTAAATCCTGTATTTTTGTTGGTGTTAATTCTGTTGAAATAAAATACTTTCTTTTAGTAACTAATGCATGTCCATCTCTCCTTGGATTTTCTTCTGAATTACTAATGTCTCTATCAAAGTCATTGATATATTCGTTAGCTGAAGACTTAAAGTTCAATAGACGTTGAAGTTTGAATGGCATTCTTGTTTGATTTGATACTGATAATGAACGAAAAGTATAATTTAATTCTAATAACCATATACAAGGTACGATGGCAATTAAATAAGCAAATGCTGATGAACAAAACCTTTTATTTTGAAAGAATCAATGAAATAGAATAGAAAGCAAGATAAGTTTTTTTTTACCATTTCGATTCATATCCTTTTCGTTTATAAACCATTACATAAGTTTCAATAATAAGAAAAATCAGTAATAAAAGTAAATACCAGTAATAAACTTGTTTTGTTTCTTCTACAAGACGCCAAACAGTAACTACAGTTGAAAGAATAAATATAAAACGAACAAATATTGCTTGAATGATTGTACATGATTCTTCAATTAATTGTATTAAATATTGACAACGTCGAGGTTTTATTTTATTTGTTGATGGATATCGAATCGAATCTGTTGATAAACAAAGACTTGATCCATGATGATATTCATAGATATTCTTTTGCTGTGAAATAACTAATTTTTTTTTTTTTAATTAGAAATATTTCGTACTTACTAATAGATCAATACTCTGACGAACACGTCCTAACGGAGCAAGCATCTTGAGCTTTTTTTGATAATAAACTATTCAAATATCTAATCGATGTGCTTTTTTTTTATGTTTGCTTCTCAGTATGAGAATATTTGTTTTTCAAAACATTTATTCAGAAAAAAACATAGAATCAGCAGGATATCACCAGAAATTCAGTAGAAGATAATAAAAAATCATTAGTTGTCAGCTGCTTTGCTTTTGTTCTTAGGAAACAATAGATTTCATTTATTATTTATTAGATAAAATAAATTCAAGTGACAAAAATATAGATAACAATAACAAAAAAAACCGAACGACAATGTTAGAATTGCGGACAAAAATGAAGCCAATTAGTAGAAAACAGTGTGTCATATTATGCTGTTTTCATTTCTATTGAATTTCTAAATTGTGAACAGTGTGATTACGATTTTTCTTGTATTGATGATATAAGAGCGTACCCATGTCGTATTATTGTCAGTCAGAGGATAAGTAACCATTTAAGTTTTAAACTATCACCTGTATACCGCAGATCATACCGTCTGTTTTTTGATCTGTATGAATTGCAGGAATAAGGAATAAAGAATCATATTATATTTTAAACTATGAACACTAATTGTACTTCGTCAGCAACTGAAAAAGTCATTTTATAGAATAATTATTCGCATGGATTAAAACATGACAATCCAAACGGCTCAGTCGTTTATGTTCGTACTTTCAAATCTTGTTTTCGTGAGATCATTTTAGAAATAATGCAATTATTAAATTATAATTCTGATCTCGAACAACCAGAAAATGTTCAAACTATATTATCCTAACTAGAACAAGGGTGAAATAAAGACTAAAGTGAGGGTTCAAAGACAATTCTCATACAGTAAATATATTATTTTAATTCGTCTCTTGATTGTTTGATAATTTAAAAGTGCTCGTAATTAAGAAACGCAATAAAAATGTGATTAACATAATTTTCTGCGTATACAATCACCAACATTTTTCTGTTTATTGATTTCATTTTTGTTCACAATTTGAAAGCTAATAAAAGAATGTTCTTTTAGCTCACTTTAACATAACCTTTTTATTTACGCTTATTTCGTTTCCCTTTAACTGTGATAAACAAGGCAAGATGAAATCTGCAAAATAGTTTGTTGATTTTTGTCTTAAAGCAAATCTTCAGTTTAAAGTTCATAGCAAACAAGTTTATATCCAAAATTAATCGTAATCTGATAAATTCGCCGTTGCAACATGTGGCCTCTGTGTTTTTTCCCTAGAAGTGTAATAATTTTAGTTGCCTACGCATTTTTTTGTAGTATAAATCAGACATTTAATTTTTTTTATTTCCTTGAGATTCCTAAAATTGAATCTTTATCTTTCAAAAAATGCTTTTTTTGTTTAACATGATATTTGAAGTTAATAGAGTTCGCCTTTCTAAAAATTATTAAAAAAAAAACATCACTTGTCTTTCTTTTCTTTTGTAAAGCTGATTTTGTATTTAACCATTTGATAATTGAAATCCTTTTCAAATAATGCAATATACATATCCTAAAGCATGATATGAAAAATAAAACAAGACTGAAATGATTTCATACGATATTGATTGTGTTCTATGAAAAATTTTGATTGATGAATTGTTGCATAACTTGTTCTATTGACTGAGGGTTAGACATCTTATGCATTTAAAAACCATTGAAATGGTTCAGAAATTTCACCTAAATATTTGAAACTACATCTCAAAACAAATCTTTTTGTTTTTCTTTTTTATAAAACCAATTATTGAATATTTTGTTGATTAGAAATGAATGAAAATATGATTGGATTACCTTTAATGGTTCTCATAATGATCTGTCGTCGTGAAACATACGCACAGAAAGGAGAAGATAAATGAATAAAATTCTATTTGAAGAAAAAAAAGTAAATAAAAACAAAAATAAACTTATGAGATTTTTTTTTTTCTTTTTCCGTTTTGGTATTTTGTATTCAATGGTACCAATTGACATATACGTTTGACTTTATCCGCAAAATTTAAAAGAAAAAAGAAAAAAAGAAAAGACAAACAGAATTCATGATATATGTTTACCATACATAACTCATAGTCCAGACTTGATAATAATAATAATAATAATAATAACAATAATAATAATATTCTTCAGGCACATTGCCTATATATAGATATAGATATATGCATATACATCTTTTTTCAGACTGCTTTATTAAACACTACAACATATCTGATAAAGTTACGAAGAAAAAAAGTAAAACAAAAACAAGAAAGTTCATTCACCGAATGATACAAATGTTTGCTTTGTTAAATTGACTTACACAACAAAGACGATAATTGGTATATTTTGTTCATTGTCATCACTAAAGTTCACATATTATATACAACCGAAGTGTCCAAAAGAAAAAAAAAGAAATGTTTTTTTTTTGTCTTCTTTCACTACCTGGATGATACTTTGACAGAATTGAGTTCACGAAGAAATTGTAATACATCATTATCATTTTTTATATCATAACATTTATCCATGAGACTTTTAGATTTTTTAATTACTGGTTCAATTTCATCATCAACAGAAGTTAATTTTCGTTTATTTGTATCGATGATTGAAAGTGGTGATGATGGACATTTATATGTTTGATTAGAAGAATATGAACAATCTGAATCTAATAAATCACATACAAGTGTATATGTTCGTTTAAGTAAAACTTGTTTATATAAAACTTGTGAACGTTGTCGACGAAGTTGTTTTTGTTTTGTTGTTGTTAATTCAAGAATATTTTGAGCTTCAGAATAATCAATATGTGAAACAATTGAATTTGAAGAAAATGTATAACATTCGTTTTGTTGAGGCATTTTGTTTTCTTATAATTTTATCAATCAATGTTAGACAGAAGAATTTATCATAGCAACTAACGCGCGTTAAGAAATAATTTATTGACTTTTAAATAAAATACATCGACATCGACATAGAGGATAATTAATCAATATGGCGACATTCGATTTTTTTTATTACTATTAAATTAATGATAAATAAGTTTTTTTGCAATATAATTTATATGTTATTCTTAAATAAATCTATTTGGGAATTTTTAGATCTAGTTTTTTTGAGCGACATCTATAAAAATGAATATTTTTTACAATAGAATTGCGTTTTTTTTCAATGAACATTAACTTTCAATTTCTCCATGAGGGTTACTTGTGAAAGTTAAATGGAATTAATTTCATTGTTGATCTGAGAACCAATAGTTAAAAGCAACATCAGCTGGTGTTTTTGCGTATAATCAAGCATTGGTTATCAAGATGAATAAAGATCGACTATATATATATCACTATCATTTTTCAATAGAATTGTCACCGACAATCACACAAAGGAATGGATGCTAGCATATGGTTACAACTTGTTACATTAATTACTTGTATAATAATAGTTGTATGTAAAGATTATTATGAGATATTAGGTGTGAAACGAGATGCTAGTGACAAAGAAATTAAACGACGTTTTCGTCAATTAGGTATAAAAATATATTTTTTTGAAAACTTTTGTAAAAATATTTAATTTAATTTTTAGCTTTAAAATATCATCCAGATAAAAATAAAGATTCAAAAGCTGAAGAAAAATTTCGTTCCATAGCTGAAGCATATGATACATTAAGCGATCCAAGTAAACGTCGTCAATACGACAGACAAGGTCATGAATCATTTACATCATCATCAAATTCAAATGATTATTCAAATTTTCATTTTAATATGAACGATTTTTTTCAACATTTTGATTCAGGATCATCTTATTTTCATCAAGCAGATCATAATCATTTTGGTTTTAATTTTGATCCATTGTTCGATGATGAAGATGATAGTTATGAAACAGATTATTTTTCTGATGGAAATTATTTTGATTTTGGTGATTTCGGTAGTGATTTATTTGGAACAAGTAATAATATGTATGTTCATACATCGGATTCTTCGCAACAAAATTGTCGAACTTATACAACAAGACAAGGAAATACTGTGTCGACTATAACAGAATGCTTTTAAATTTATGTTTATGATTTCTATTTTATTTATCTATTTTTTTTGTTTTAAAAAAAAACAGGATTTGTCTTAAGATAAACATAAATCTCTTTGCAAATAACAATCTTTCTGCTTATTTTTCTTTGTCGAATCTTATTAATTTAAATCCTGACCTATATTTCAGTATCATAAAATAAGTCATGAATTTGAAAAAAAAAGTATGATAATGCATCGATCGATCTTCAAACATTATTTTCAATTTGTCTGATCAAATTGATAAGTCACGACGAACGTTGTCCTTTTAAGTAAACTAATCTTTATGACAGTGGCATCATTCATATAGTATATGAGAAAGAACAGATGACTATAAGAGTGGGTGGAGAAAAACAATTTAAAAGTTGGCGTCGAAAACAATACTAATCCGTTTGTACCATGTAAAAAGGATTAGTATAAAATACTTTTATGATGAAAATTTACTTACGACCCAAATGGATAGTTTTAGGTACGTTTTTGAATTATATTTCAATACAAACTCATTTCTGTAGTTTTACGATAAAATAGTAATTTATTTGAATTATTCAAATTCAGCATAATGTTAGAAGAAATTTTTGTTTTGAAAGACGCAGTTCAAAGTATGTTTTTAAGTAGTAGTAAATGTCTTTGTTTTATCATTAGAATCTTTTGCTTGTGATCGTTGTGTTAATTTATCTTTTTTTTATTGTATGATTTGATGAAATAGATGATTGTAAATCATTCTTTTGCGATGGTGAAGATAAATTTGATGGTGTAGCTGGTTTATAAAACATTGGTAAAGAAAATGTCATACCCAATGAACTTGATGTTTGAGCCGATGGTGATAAAGGTGTTCCGTATATATATTGATGTTTATGTTTTTTACAAATTTCATGCGCTTTTTTTTGATGCCATCTATCCATGAGTTCAGTATGACTCATTGGACATTGAACTGAACTAATACTACTTTGAGTAATTGATGAAGTTATAGATGATGGAGTTTTTGGTGAAATATCTAAGTCTTCGTTTGGACTTATTAACATTTGTGATTTAGCAATAATATAACGTTCAGCTGGACTTTGAGGATAAGTGTTACTTAAAGATACTGGTAATGTTAAAGGACGACGAGACTTTGATGTTTGTTGATTTGTTGATTCAATAGATTCTGGATCAGATAATGAACTTTGAAGATTCATTCTATTTGAAAAACAAAAAAGAACAACGAACTAATCGGTTTTGAAAAATTGAATTTAGTTACGATGGGACTTGTTGTTTGGCTGAATTAGATTCTTTACGTGTAGATATTGTACTCCGTTGTGCCATTGAATCGATATATTATTTGAAGACCGTATATACCAGTCGATATTATATAAGTATTTAGTAATGATTGGAAAGAAATTGAATATAATCACCAAATATGTTTTTTTAATGTTATGCTAAGTATATAGTATACATTGAGAGAGAAGGTTTGTTTATGTAAAAAGAAAGCTTAGGTTTTTGACATACATAGTTATTCTAATTTTTTTGTAAGGATTAGCTCGTTTAATATGAATCTGGATATTTTGTTGTAATTTTAACCTAATCAAATATAAAGCAAAGAAAAGAGACTAATGTAGTGTAAGAAAACATTTTTAATACCTTTGCTTGTCTATTCTTTTGATGTTAACGATGACGATAATTATCTCCTTATCTTCTTGTGGTATACTCTGTTTTTTTCCACTACATATTCGTCATTTATTTTTTTTTATCACTAGACTTTATTGACTCATGTTTCATTGACGACATATATTTTTTTGCCTTCGTTTACTATGAGCAATATTTACATTTACCTAATGCATTGTATCATAATAGTGCTTTTTAATTTTCTGCCGCTATAGACAGGTGATGTATGGCATTTAACTATCAGCGAGTGGATTTTTTTCGTCGAACACGTAAAGGAACCAAAGAAAAAGCAAAAGAAGAAAGAAGCAATAAGTATGAGTGATGGATAAATATCACTAGGTATATGGAACTACTCTTATATGCAAATCGGACCTATATACTATCGGATTTTGTATATATCGACAATAAAACATTTGCATAAATAATTCAGTTTTTAAAAAATTGATTGACATTAAAAAAAGAAGAAGAAAATTAGTATAATAGTCGTTTGATATATGTAACCATGGTTTCGTTGAAGTAAACTGTTATATTAATAAATTTTATAAGAACAAATAATCATGAATAAAAACTTAGGAAAATATCAAAATTCATCAAACTTCTAAATGAGCATTATGAGCATTATTTAGTTACAAACATTTATTAAACAATAGGATTGTCAGTGAAGATCAGTATGTTCTATCCTTACATATCTTCTCAAAATAACTTTTCTTTTTACGTTCTATTCTTACAGCATGTTATGTTGTTTGCGTAACTATGTAGTGCATTTTGAAGTGAATAAAAATATAATTATATAGAGTGAGAGTTTATTTGCATGACTATGAGAAGCCACCTACCTTTAGTATGTAAAGCAGATATTAACGATATTAAACCAAATAAATATTCATTCTGACTAAAAACGAACGATGTATTGCTTTTTTTGCCAATATAGGTCACAACGGTGAGAAGCGTGCTTTATGAGTAATTGGTTTCAAAAAAATTCTCATGTTCATGGCGTAAATGTTTTCTTCTAGTTTCTTTTTTTTCTCAAATAACGCGATCATAGTATCCGAGAAGGCATTTTTTATAGTGAATCTATATGTATTAGTGTAGTGAGTTATTTTTAAGTCGTCTTTCGCATCTCTTAGAGCAATAATATATTAGTATTATTTCTTATCCCTAAACTTTTTGTATATCTATTTCTTTCGGAATTTGGAGTATTTAATTTCATCATTTACATCAAACTTTTTTTTTGTGTTGGTAAACTATACTTTTTTATTGATTCTTGTATATGATTCGTTTTTTTATTTTACTGATTCAATACATGCCTACCACTTGTAGGAAGAAAAAGAAAAGACAAAACAACTTGAAACTATAGCTTAAAAAGCAACTTCAATACTTTCATATTTTACCCATTATCATCATACGAAAAGCGTATTACGCCTTGTTTTATGTCAATTATGGACAGATCAATAGTCAAATATTGTAATACATGTGAAGAACTTGCTGGATTTTATTGCAATGGATGCCATAGAATATTTTGTCAACGTCATGGTCACGAACATCGACAATCACTTTATGAACAACTTGATTGGTTAACTGTGGATCATGACGATTTTGTTAATACAGTTAATAGTACTGAGTCAATCACACAGAGACATTATTCATCAAAACAAATTATTGATAAATGGGAAGAAGAATCCATAAAATATATCCAAAAAACGGCAAACGAAGCTCGACGTGCACTTTCAGATGCCATAAAAGATCACATTAATGAAGTAAAAGAAAAATTAAAACTATTAACAGAAAAATTACATGAAGTAAGTCATAACAATAATAATCATAATAATCAAAATACTACTAATACTTCTACTACTACCAATAATAATAATCAATATAATACTTTTGATGAAAGAAATATAAGACAATGGGCAACAGAATTAAATAATCTTAAACATGAATTTATTGCACAATCCACATTTACTGTTCGTATTCATGGTAATAAACCTGTTGTAATGCCGATTATAAAAATTCAACCTGATCATGTGCATGAAAATTACTCGAATGATCAACAAGGATATACATTTGGTGTAGTTCCTATTAAGAATTCTCTTGATTCAAACAAATCATCTTCTATGAATATACAAGAAGAAAAACCGATTACTCATGTATCTGTAGATCAAAATTTAATTTTATTATCACAAAAAGATGATCGATTTTCATTATGTACTGATCATGTTAAAATTCTTGATAATGGTCAACTTATCATTCATGATTCTACAAAATTTGATGCATCAATAATTGGTTATCAAGAATATTCTCAAGGTGAACATAAATTACTCTTTCATATCGAACATATGACTTCTGATGAACGGATTTTTTTTGGTATTGTATCCAAACATACATCTCTTAATCAAAATTCCTATATGGATTCATCAGCTCATGGTTGGTCTGGATATAATAATGTTTACTTAAATGGAAAATCGATGCCTACTCTCAATGGATATCTTGATAATATGAAAATGAATGATTTTATTGAATTAACAATTGATTGTGATAAACAAAAAATTTTTTTATGGCATTCACGTCAAATATATAAAAATAAACTTCCTGTTGATATACGAACATGTCCATTTCCATGGCAATTATTAATAAGTTGTCATAATCCAAATGATACGATACGTATTTTACCATCATCAATCAGTTCAATAATTAAACAAGAACAAGATAAATTAAATAATGCTATGAAAATTAAAGAAAATGGATTTGAAAATGAAAATGATTGTTGTCCAAATCGATGGAAAATAAATAAAACAGATGCAGTTCAATATGTTTAGTATGCATGGTTCGCATTTTAAATTAATTGTTTGTATATGTTCTTTTTTAATTGAATTTTATTGTTCAAAAGCGAAAGATAAAAGCAAATGAATTGACTTCAGATAAAATTTTCACTTTTTTGTATACAATATGCATGGTGGAATTGTTGTATTGTTCATCACTGAATAATAAGAAGGTGGTAGTTGCTCAACTTGTGGTAATGCCCACATTGTTTGATAAGAACGTGATTGATCACAGTCTTGATTTATAAAAGCAACTTGTGGATTTCTATACGGAAGAATCGTTGAACGACTACGAAAGATTCTTTTCCAACAAAAAAGCATCATTATAAAAATCATCAACAATAGTCCACATAGTAATATAAAAGTGTTCCAAAGTTTTTCTCTCATATTCTACTGCTGAGAATGCACAGCAGTAATAAAAAGAAAACATATTAATAATATACTTTTTCTCATTTCATAAAGTTGAGAAAAAAAGTCATTTTTCTAGGATAGATGTTTTCCTTTTACAACTGCGTAGAATAAAAAGTAAACGCTCATTAAACTAATTCATTTCTATTTTAATATTGAAAAAAAAAACACTTTCATATTTTCTTTTGTTCTGTTAATAGAACTCTTACTGTCAAAAATAAATTTACAATTGTTGAATAACTTGAAGGCAATGTAATGACAGATAATACGCGAAAAAGAAACTAAATATTTGCGTATAGTTTTTTTTGTGTCGATAATTAAAAATAGTTTTCGAAACAATATATTCTATACAATGGTATAGACAGGGGCAGAGCTATTGAATAATAATCTACGAATTTAAAAGAAATTATCTATGGATTTTTTTGAAATGATATCAATTACCCGATATCGAAAAATCTTAATATACATACATGTACGAAAACTCAAGTGGTGTCAATTTAATCAATGATATCTTATTGTGATCTAACTAAGTTACTAAGAAAGAGCAATTGGTAATGCTTTCGATTACACTAATGATTACGATGATGACAATTCAACGGTATTTCTTTTCTATCAAAATACTTATTATTCCATTTAAACTTCCTAATGTTCTATTCATGTTTTTGTGATATGATACATTCAAATATTTGAAAGTTAAAGAGTACATTTATGAAATAGTACAAGATAAGCTAACGAGTTCGTCTTTTAGTTAAAAATAACGAACTTCTCTTCAATAAACACTGTTTTTCATAATAGAAAAATGTTTTAAAAAAAGATGTAGCTCAATTTACTTTTTAATCGCTCATTGTTGCCCACTTCTGAAAATAATTTAGCTGGGAAACAATCTGTAAATAAAAGTTTTCTGATTACGCCACTGATTTCACATAAGTATTTTAAAAGCCACTAAAGATAAGAAAATCTCTTGTGAACTCAAGAAGTTTCTGCACATTAGACTTATTTTTGTTTTCGATATATAGAAGTTTTTTTTCCTGCTGAATTTACTTCAGACAAGAGTTGTACAGTAGTGATGTAAATACTAAACAGCGAGTCACCCACTCTAAGGCGACTGAGACTCTCTCTATAATAACATCTGTGTAGGCTGAAATATCGACACACTAATTCTATGAAAAAATCCAGTTTTTGTAGCAGTAAGTTTCAGTACTTTAGTAAGTATTGGTATCAACACGCATTAAATACATTGCACAGTGGACATTACTTATTTTCTATAAAAAACGAACGCTGTATCAGAGAAGTAGTCGCTTCTTGTACTAAAGAAAAGATTGATGAAAAAAAAAACCATTTACGATGGAAAATCCCTGAGGAGGAGTTCTTACCCTAACCTCTTGCATAGATTAAGACTACATCTGATATTTTGTTGAACATTTATTTTTCATAGATCGAATTATGTTTTTCTCTAAAAGAGCTAAGGGCGGACTTTTTTCTAAAACTAACTTGTTCCAATGAATTTAGCGGCGGAGACCGCACTTTCTTTTGTTAATCAAGAAACTGGTCGTCACTCAAAGTGTAGAAACTACTATTAAAATCTCGAAAAAGTTCATTTTCTTTTTTCCACTTATTGTCCATACTGTCGTCTATTGTTCATCGGTCAGTCTTAGTGAGACTTCATCTCCTTATTTTAGATGAAGCTAAATCTCTTTGACAATTGAAAGTTGTCATAGATTTGTAGACAATTGCAATATGTCAGCGTAGCATCTATTGACGTTGCTCTTATGAACAAAATGGTCGAATATTTCCCGATCATCGGCAAAAGAGGCAATCTTCCATTTGATTGAAATAAAATAAAGGCATTCAATTATTTATTATGATGATTCATCAACAGAAGTGAATTTACAGGATGACACTGAAGACAGTCGTCGCTTTCTGCAGATATACTTTTGAATGTTTGTTAGTAGAAAACTAATCGGTTTTGTTTTTATAGAATATATTTTGAAAAACTGTGAACACAAAAACTTATTGTTCTTAATTTTAAAATTTTTATTAATATATTTATTTGTATTTTTATTTGAATATTTAATGTGATTATAAAATATGAATCATGTTCTTTATAAAACTGTACGTCATTCAAAAACAGATTTTATCTTCTATGACGAGTGATAATGATAAAAACAATGTTTAACATTAAATCTACGTCATCAATTATTTTTATCAATTAATTCTCATACAAGTCAAAATATTTGAATCAACATGATGTAGTAATATGACTAATATATTTAATACGACGTCATGAATTTCAACATGAAAATTTTTATTAAGCGGATTATTTTTATCTTAAATACATAAACCAAGTTAATCAACAGACTTTCATCGAATACATATTATTTATTCATTTAGATGACATGTAACAAGATTTAACTAAAGTTGTTTATCTTACCATCCACTTGTTCAATAGGATTTTTTTATGTCACTAATATGCAACAAATAATAAGTATATCATTGAAAAGCTTTCTTTTGATATGGTTTAACTTGAATTAGTTCTTGGAGATGTTTTGTAACGAGATCGAATAGATGTTAGTTTTTGCATCAAGAAAAATAGAAAAGAAATACCTAGATTCATGATATCAATTTATATCACACGTCTGTATAAAATAAAGATATTTAATCAACGTATGATTTGATTAAAAGATATCACCGAGTATCAATTGTAATTTTTAGATTGTTCATAGCAGTACCATATAGAAAGTTATATATGAGTTAATATAATAATTCATTGTATTTCTCAAATGTTCCTGAGAAAATAAGAATAAAACAAAATGGCTGTCATCTATAACAAGAGAGTTTCTATTATATTCTTATTAATGAAGAGAATGAAAAATCTAAACTTTCAAGTTATGATAAGATCATAATCCTATGTTATTGAGACATCTCTTGTCTTATGAGAATCAAAAATGTTAATTTTTTTTATTTTCATATTTTTGTACAAATAAATATTAGTCTGAATAACTCCTAGCCCAATAACTATCGATAATTCTTTCATAAGACGATCTGCAAATGATGTTTGAACTAAATAAAAAAAAAATCTGATTCTTGTAATGCTATATATGATGAACTATTAATCGTAACTTATTTTTATTTCTATATCCATCATTTGTTCTCGTTCAAAAAATTTAACAAGATATAAATGATTTTATCAACATTCATCATCAATTTGTATTTTTCAAAACAACTTAAAAATTCAATCTCAATTAGTTATCAATGATATTTCCTGAAGACTTCATCATTCTTCATTAAAATATGAACGATAACTATTGACATAAGCATTGAACATGAACTACTGATGTTGCTATGTCATTATTGATCTCATTTTCTCAACAATCAATATCTAAACGATTTGTATTGTCCAAATATTTTTCTTATATTTGACAATGTTGATCAAAGTTTTTTCAAGAAAAATGACAATCATAAGTAAAATATGCTGCTATGTATGATGTACAACATTGGCAATAGCATGGATTACTTATTTTTTCAGCCATTAAGAAATATAAATTTGAAACAAACGATTACAAAATAACATATTCGTATTAGTAAATTTCCCATCCGTCTGATGATTGATTATTTTCTTCTTGCATGCACATAAATAAATTATTTTTGCACGATAATCTTTCGGAATATGATCAAATGTTTGATGAGAAAAAAAATTATTTTTTCCGTGCAATCGTTTAATATTTTTTTTAGATAAAAAAGGAATGGTTAAAAATTAATACTTGTTTCAATTAAGAAAAAATCGATATTATTATCGTGTGTCACATGAAAAAGAACAAAACGATTTTTCCTGTTGAACAAACTCATAATGATTTCTTTTTTTTTTTGTTGTGGTTATTGTCGTCATGCTGTTTTTTTGTTTTGGCCATAGAATAAAAGACAGACAAAAGAGAAATTAGGGAAGGAATATCATTGCTCACAACAAACAAACAAAAGTAGGAAAAAAACACATGGCCTTCAATCGTTGTGATTGTCATATGATTGTGAAATACAAATGAAGCAAACGAGAAACAAAAAAATCCGGACGCAATTAAGCGCAGAACAACATTGAAGAGAAATATCTTTAATACAAAGAGACTTAAGATCTTCTTTTCATTATTTCTCATTTCCCGCATTGACGACAATAGAATTATATTGTGGTTTCTTTTTTTGTTTTTTGTTTATCACGAAAAGAGTTAGACATGCGCATGTGAACGAAGAAAAAGGAGACAGAGAAAAGTCAGCCGACTTTATACAAAAAAAAAAAAGAAAAAAAACGAAACATGAAAATAGGATTATTAATCAATAGATCCATTTTTCCATCATAAATGTATTTATATCAGTGAATGCAAACAATTCACGCTAAAATATTCTCTTAGTGTTCAATAGAAAAGAAGACAATAGATTTTGGTTTGTTTTTTTGAAAAATAATTTATCTTCACTTGGTTCGATAAGGATTTTTCGACGAATCATTTCCTGTTCGTCCAGACGTTTTATTATTACCATTTCCATTACAACTCGTATTTGTTGAATCGATTAATAAGTTTGTTGTTACACCTGATGATGCATCA